CCTCCCTCTGTTTCCAAGGACGAAGGACGCACCTTCCGGGAGGGGGGAGTAATGTGACACCCCTGTGGACTGTTTGTTGTGGCCGTTTTGTTTTTTGTTGGTTTAGCCCGTACAATCATTAGTTAATTACCCTCATTGTGCTCACCTGTCTGCCACTGATTATCCACCCTATATTAGTTCCTGTCTGTCTCAGCTTTAGTTGTCGGTTATTGTGAATGTTACCCCGAGTGTGTGTGTGTCTCACCTATCTGGATCTGCCTTGTTGTGTCTACATTAAAAGTCATTATTGGAATCTTTGTCGTCCTCGTCATCCTGCCTGCCTCCACACACAGTGTCGTGACAGACATATCATGAAAATCTGACTTTTCCAGGTTTCAAGTGCTATATACAGGTCCCCAGTGCATCTACCAACCAAAGAAACGTGAACAGATTAACCCAGTAACTTTGTTTTGGGAAGCCTTTATCTGCAAGATTCTGAGAAAACGAGCACGTCTGATTTCGCTCCCTTGGTGTTGTGGCAAAGGGATCTCATTATAATATTACCGCCCCTTAATCTGTAAATTTACACCCAGCGCGTTATTGTGTTTTCTCAAGCAACAACGGAGTACCAGTTCTAATGCCATGGCGAAAGTTTGAGCAAAGCATGCTAACTGTTCTGTCTTTGGCTGCACAGACGAGCACAGAACAATATTTAGATTCCCAGTCTCAGACGAGTCATTATAATATTACCGCCCCTTAATCTGTAAATTTACACCCAGCGCGTTATTGTGTTTTCTCAAGCAACAACGGTGTACCAGTTCTAATGCCATGGCGAAAGTTTGAGCAAAACATGCTAACTGTTCTGTCTTTGGCTGCACAGACGAGCACAGAACAATATTTAGATTCCCAGTCTCAGACGAGACAAGAGAGCAGTGGATTTATTGATTTATTTACTGTATATTGCTGCTGCCACACAGATCTAAAATAAACATGCGATTTATTTCCCAGCTGTTAACCTTCACAGACATAACTGACTGTTTTTGTAACTCAAGTGTGTTTTTAACTTAAACTTGTGTGTGAATGAGAAATTAGTTTAGTACTCACATGCTGTGACAGCCGCTTTCTGTCCGTGTGCTTCAGATGAGTGCTCTCAGAAAACCGTATATCAGAAGTTTAACCCTCATCCGTCCCTCCCGAACCTATAACAAAAGTGTCCCTCGTGGGTCAAAATGACCCGAAGGCCAAAAATGACACTAATTTTATTTTTGGTCCAGAAAGCTTATATTGGAACATTTTTATCTTTTTTTTTCAAATTTTGTATGTAGGTTTTTCTATTATTTTTTGGTGATTTTTAACATATTTACCTTTTATTCTGTATATGTTTAAGAAAACATAAGCAAATAAGCAGTTTTTGTACATTATTTCACCAAAAACAAAACAAAGAAAGACACAATTTCAGTCCTGTTTCATCAAAGCCCAACAAACCTATAACAAAAGTGTCCCTCGCGGGTCAAAATGACCCGAAGGCCAAAAATGACACTAATTTTATTTTTGGTCCAGAAAGCTTATATTGGAACATTTTTATCTTTTTTTTTCAAATTTTGTATGTAGGTTTTTCTATTATTTTTTGGTGATTTTTAACATATTTACCTTTTATTCTGTATATGTTTAAGAAAACATAAGCAAATAAGCAGTTTTTGTACATTATTTCACCAAAAACAAAACAAAGAAAGACACAATTTCAGTCCTGTTTCATCAAAGCCCAACAGATGGCCTTGGAATTGAGTCACCGAGTGTCTCTGATGCCATCTGAACCAAGTTCAGAACCATTCAAAACAAGTGAAACATGAGAAATGAGATAATCTTAAGGCTTCAAAAAACAAAGACACAATTTCAGTCCTGTTTCATCAAAAACCAACAGATGGCCTTGGAATTGAGTCACTGAGTGTCTCTGATGCCATCTGGTGGGGAAAAATTACATAAAATTGCATTTTATGGTTACAGCCAGTAGAGGGGCCTATAGAACCCTATGGAGATTTTTAACTGTGCAAAACAAGTGAAACATGATAAATGAGATCATCTTAAGGCTTCAATTAGGTTGTTTATGGATTAAAATATATATTGAAACATTACAAAATCCAAATAAAAAAAATATAATAATAATGAATTATAACTGAATTATAACCTAAACATATGCATATTCATACAGTTTCATAAATATATAATATATTTATTAAAAAAAAATATATATATATATATATAAATATGATATAAACTCATTGGTCTCCACCACATCACTCAAATCTAACTGTGTTAAGTAAAAAAAAAATGGAAAAATGACAGTCATATCCCAGAAGAAACATGAAACATATTATAATGTGTTCTATGGGAGTGTGTGTACCATGTGTGTGTTTATGCATGTGTGTGTGTGTGTGTGTGTGTGTGTGTGTGTGAGAGAGAGTTTTTTCTGCATTGGAGATATTCTGTAGTCTCAGCCCTTCGTTTGGGTATAAATCTTTACTGGATTGTCTCAGATTTTGTATATTAATTTTTTTTTTAAATGTAATGAAAAATGCCATTAAATTCCATTAATTCCTATGCGGGTCAAAATGACCCACGAGGGACACTTTTGTTACTTTTTTTTATTGCACCCATTTAAACTCCTTGAATCCACTCAAATTTGTTTTGTGTATTTCCGGTGCAAGTGTGAACGAAGTAAAGAAATCTTGGACCGGTACGATCAACACATGAGTTTTAGAATTTTTTTGAAAAAACGTTTCAAATCCGTGACCCGAGGGACGGATGAGGGTTTTAAACTCATATGGTTTAAAACGCGATGGCATTTCATATGGCATTTCAGCGTGATAAACATGATAATCAGAACCAAAACAGATGTTTTTTAGCAGGTACAAGCTGTAATAGCTCAGCTCTATTCTGGAAAAGGGGGCGGGGAGCAGCAGCTCATTTGCATTTAAAGAGACAGGCCCGATAAACAGGTGTTTCTGCTTCCACTCAAAATAGGCATTTTCAAAATTATATAATAAATGATCTGTGGAGTATTTTCAGCTGAAACTTCACAGACACATTCTGGGGACACCAGAGACTTATATTATATTGTAAAAAGGGGCATAATATGTCTCCTTTAATTTAAAGGAAAAGATAAAGTGTTTATTGATATAATAACGTCAGAAATTATATACATTGTATTGAAGGGTTTGTAAACTACTGGTCTAAATTACACATGGCTATGTGTAGACAGCGACCTCTAGTGTAAACAGCTGCATTGTTCTAATAGGCTAACTGATCAGAACATCATAAGATAAAAGACCAAATTTATAAAATTAGCTACAAAAATAATGACACTATTATTGCAAAACTACTGTACAAGCGTTTCACTAGAAACGTTTTTACTTGCAGTAAAACCCCCGAAATGCTTCTTGACATTTACCCAGTTGCTTTGCTGTTTCAGAGTCATCATGTCAGATGAAGTCAATGTCTTTATGGACCCTTTCCTTAGAATCTACACAAATCCTGACCAGATAGAAGTAGCCGATAACCTCACAGACATCAAAAAGCAAGAGGAAGATGACAAAAACAAAAATGTTTATGTGGTTTCCAGAGAGTTTGAAGACATATTATCTAATGCCACAGCGAACACAGAAGATTCAGACTCTCTTGGCTCAGAATTACAGGAAATAATGGACTCTCCACTTGCAGAGAAAACAAACAAACTGAAAAGTAAACTTAAGGAGTTAGAGAATGTTACACTTAACATTGCTGTAACCGGGATGACAGGGGCAGGGAAGTCTTCCTTAGTCAACGCTCTCAGAGGCCTTCCTAATGATGATAAGGACGCAGCTCCCACAGGAACAACTGAGACTACCATGAAGCCCAACATGTACCCCCATCCCTCCATGCCAAATGTGAAGATCTGGGACCTGCCTGGAATTGGCAGTCCAAAATTTAGAGCAAAGAAGTACCTGAAAGATGTCAGTTTCCACACGTATGACTTCTTTCTCATAGTGACCTCTGAAAGATTTAAGGAGAACGACATCGAGCTGGCTAGAGCGATCAAGAAGAGCAAGAAGCTATTTTATTTCATTCGCACTAAAATTGACAACGACATTTGTGCTGAATCACACAAAAGAAACGTTGATGAGCGGATGTTGCTCGAAAACATTCGAGAGGATTGTAAGGCGAACCTATTGAGAGTCGGAATACCCAAAATATTCCTGGTATCTTCATTTAATTTGGAAAAATATGACTTTCAGAAGCTGATCAACACCCTCGAAGATGAATTCTCAGAGAACAAGAAATTTACTCTCATTCAGTCTCTGCCCATTTATTCTCTAGAGGCCCTCACAAAGAAGAAAACATACAAGAATATTTGGCTAAATGCATTTGCGGCCGGGCGGTCGGAGCGATAGCTACCGTCCCGGGATTTTCACTGGCCTGTGATTATCGCATCATGAAGAAGTTTTTTCAGCAAGTCTTCACAGGCTTCGGCTTATCAAATCAGGTCTCTGTGTCACAGCCTGCCTAATAGAAGGAACCTCGGATCAAGCTTACAAATCATATAATAACTGTGTTGATGCAGAAAATATGTCTTGTAGTATTGAACATATAAAGTAATGATACTAATTGTACTCTTTTTTGTAATTAAGATTAAAATAAAATGTAAAAACTGAAATGCGATCATGAATGTGCAATTGAAATTAAAACTGATTTCATCTTAACAAGTCGTATCTAAAGCAATTTAGAGTGTAATCTAAATATATTCTAACTTATTGTTTATTAAGTGGGCTTTGTATATGAGCACATTTTAATCGCAGATTTTACACTGGATAAATTGGCGCAAACCGCGTACAAAACCTCTATATGTTACTTCATTCTGACACTTTTATATTATAACTTGTTCCTCATACTCGGATACAGTTGTGTATGTGTGTGTGTGAGAAGGAGAGAGCGGTAGACAGAATATTTTTAATTGTTTAATCCGTGTTTTGAATGAGAAGGTGAAGCATGTCCTGTCCCAGGCTGAGAACATAGAGATGGCACACCTGCTTGTCAAGATTCTAATGTCCCACTTCCAGGAACATGAAGATGGACTGGTTTTGCATGCAGACGTAAGTATTTAATTTTCTTCTTTCCACTTCACTAAATTATATTATGTATTCTTATTTGTGTATTGTGTGTTCTCTACAGGTTGCTGCATCTGCATCTGATGTTGAGAAGACACTCAATCTGCCTGCCAGTCCTCGTCTGATTTTGCTGGGTTAGTGTGTCATTACATGTGATGAAGTAAAAACATTTACTAATGGTTGAGATATAAAATTGTTAACATTGCTATGGTACACGATTGTTAAAATAGAATTTTCTTGAAGGTAGTTCTTTGAAATTAGTTGTGAAAAAAATGTGTTAATTGTTATTGTTTTTATTTATTTATTTATTTTTATTTTAGGTATGGCAGAGCCGGCAAATGCTGTATGGTAGATGATAAGCCTAGAGGGCTGTGTTATTTGTGAGTGTGTCCAGTCAACATTTTTGACTGCAGTTGCAACAGTGTTTGCTGTGTACTACATCTTCAACCTGCAGTGTCAAGAGGAGGCTTGTTGCACGTTAGAATTTCTTCAAAGGTAAGTATTTTCCTTTTTGCTTATGTTTTTTTTCATTATCTTAGAATCTATGGTAACACTTTATAATAAATATACAGTAGTAAAGTAGTAAATCATTTGCAAACTAGTTAACTCATAGCCTTTCTCCTGTGTTCTTCCAGTGTCTGATGTGTGAATAAAACTGCATTTCAGTTCATTATCTGAAACACTGCCAAATGTGGTTTTATTCACATGCCAGACACTGGGAGAAAATAGGAGAAAGGCGTGTAGATCCACAATAAATCCAAACAAGGAGACATATAGATAGTTTGCAAATGATTTATTAGTGCATTGTTACTGTATACTTATTATAAAGTGTTACCAAATTAATCTAAATTCTAAATCAAATTAATTAATCAGAATTTTAAGAAATGGTTATTGTATACTTTGGTAATTTGTAATGCAACTGCCCTTAGACGCTTCATTGGAATAAACCCAGAAAGAGGCTCAAAGACCTGCAGAGGCAAGGTAGTCTCCAAGAAGACGGTAAATACTGTGCTATAAGAAATACCCTCTTGGTCTTCTCTTTTCTGTGTATTTGCTGCCACTTTTTTTGTATAAATGAAATTACAATGCCAGTTTGTGAATTTGTTCAAGTACAGATATTTATAATAAAGTTAATGATTAGCAAAATTGCCAGTTCTTACGTTTAATTAAAGAAAAAAAAAAACAATCTAGAATACAGTAATGAAACTGTAAAATTACGGTACACTGCTGGAAACCCTGCTGCCAGTATATTACCGTTAATTTACAAAAAAGCCGTAATTCAGAATACCGTAATAAAACTGTAAAATTACGGTACACTCCTGGAAACCCTGCTGCCAGTATATTACCGTTAATTTACAAAAAAGCCGTAATTCAGAATACCGTAATAAAACTGTAAAATTACGGTACACTCCTGGAAACCCTGCTGCCAGTATATTACCGTTAATTTACAAAAAAGCCGTAATTCAGAATACCGTAATAAAACTGTAAAATTACGGTACACTCCTGGAAACCCTGCTGCCAGTATATTACCGTTAATTTACAAAAAAGCCGTAATTCAGAATACCGTAATAAAACTGTAAAATTACGGTACACTCCTGGAAACCCTGCTGCCAGTATATTACCGTTAATTTACAAAAAAGCCGTAATTCAGAATACCGTAATAAAACTGTAAAATTACGGTACACTCCTGGAAACCCTGCTGCCAGTATATTACCGTTAATTTACAGGGAATTTTTTTACAGTGTACATAAGATTTTTTGGAAGCGTCTTTAAATTCACACCGTAATAGCTAAGTTACATGTTTGAATTTATGTGCTTACAAATGCAATTTAAAACGATGTGTGTACAGATTTGTTCATTATTTAAACAAAAAATGTCCATGTTTATCTGGTTACAATTTTAGATATCTAAGAAGTAGAATAAAGGCTACAAATCTATCCAAAAATCACCTGTATGGAATAAAGTCAGGAATGAAAGAGCCATCATAAATACGCCTGCTGACTTCATATGCAATTCTGCTACATAGCCTACACCCATATGTAGCCAACATGTGAGGAAAGTATTCACATCATTCATTCCTATCTGAGCGATTTTTTTTACACATATCTGACGATCACCAATTTTTAAGAGATAAAATCAAAACCTTAACAGCAATACTGAGCATAAATGTCATTCTTAATTGTATTCAAAGATATTGCATATTTCTTAGGGATGCACCGATATGAAAATTTTGGCCAATACCGATAACGGCCAAATTTTCTTATTGGGCCGATACCGATAACAGAAAAAATGAGCATTTATCGGCCGATACCGATATGGTGGCCGATATATCGTGCATCCCTAATATTTCTCTTACGGAAAGAAATATATAATGTGCATTATTAAATACTTCATATTAGGTAATAACTACATAACACTTCTGGAATTAAATATGACCTGGAATCTTGCTTATCATAAAGATTAATAATGCACAATACACTACCCCTGGGCAACATGAATTCAAACATCATGCTATTTTACTATACACCGAATTTTACTGTGATACACATTATCATTTAAGATGTTAATACCCTATTCATTTTGACCATTTTTAACATGTCATTCATCTGAAGTCATCCCTCAATCCCTCATATCAATGAACTGAAAAAGTGTCACATAAAAACTTTTATTAACAGCAGTAAGAACTTGGGGAAAAGAAAGAAAGAAATAAAGAAAATGAACTCAGATAAATTGACAGAGTCATTTAAACAATCAGGACTGCACGATTTGTGTTCAAATACACATGTAAAAAAAGAAATTAAGTCAAAAGAAATGTACTTATAATGTACTTAAGAATATGATATATAAAAAGATATAAAAAAGGACAGATAGAGTCCTAAATTGTGTATTAAGACCTCAGCAAAGTTCAAACAAAAATGACAGTGTGCTTGTTTAGGAAAAAGTTACTTTGTTTGCTTAAATATTGTCCATGAATTAAACACAAGCCTCAAATGAGAAAAAAAATAATACTGAGTTTGTTTTGCATGAGATGCACATGCCATTGCTGGTAAAAGAGCCACAGAAATATCTTGTTCTACGACATTGAAACTTCTTCAAACAGGGCTCAAAATAGAAGGTGCTGAAAGTTGCAAAACAGACCTACATGAACCAGGAACACATATATTAAAAAAAGTTCTTTAAGTTTGTAAAACATACAGAAACATAAGTTTTGAAGCATTTAATTCATTTCCCACAAAAAAATAAAATGTACAGCATTTTAAATGCTTCATGCATGAATCTGCTGCCTTTGATACACTGTCGATGCATTATCAACATTACTCATATGAAAGCATGCATGTCTGACAGAGCGTCTTTGGTTCTGTGGTTTAAAGGGGTCATATGACGTTGCTAAAAAGAACATTATGTTGTGTATTTGGTGTAATGCAATGTGTTTATGCGGTTTAAGGTTCAAAAAACATTATTTTCCACATAATGTACATTATTGTTGCTCCTCTATGCCCCGCCTTTCTGAAACGCGTCGATTTTTACAAAGCTCATCGTTCTGAAAAGCGAGGTGTACGCTGATTGGCCAGCTATCCAGTGCATTGTGATTGACTGAATACTTCAAGCGTGTGATGGAAATGTTACGCCCCTTACCATACTGTGTATTGCCGTGTCCCGGTACGACGAGATAAAAACAATAAAACCCATTACAAATGAGGCATTTGTTGCATCCAGTGGGGACATAATTACTGATTATAATGACTTATACTGTCTTTTTACATGTTGCGTATCGTGCCACGTAAACATAAAACCATGTTTCATGAACAATTGAAATCGCATCATATGACTCCTTTAAAGCATTTCCAAATTTTTGTTCTCTTAATAAATAAAACTTGCTGACTTGAAAGCATTATGAGGTATAAATGTAAATTTAAAGTCTAAGTACAATTAACTGGAAATTACTTTGCTGTATTTAATATAGGTGCTGCTACAATGGGACAGGAACTGCAAGAGGCAGGGAGTTCTGCTAAAGTGCATTGGTTTGGGAGTTCTGCTAAAATGGGACATGGACAGCAAAGGTCAGGGAGTTCTGCTCCAATGAGTTCTGCTACAAGGACACCGGAACGGGAAAATCTACTGCCGGACCAAAATCCATTGACAGACCAGAGACAATAAAATGACAGCTATCAAATGAGCCACTTAAACAAACCCAACACAAAGGCCTTCTTCTAACAAATAACCAGCTATTAACAGATTCAATTTTCACACTCTTCCTTAACCAAAACTCTCATATTCCAGCTTTCTGTGATATATATATGACAGTAGCTTGAGTTAACATTAGCAGTAGCTTGAGTTTTGTTGAGGATGTAAAAATCTGTAAATATTGACAACCTTGCTTTTAAAGTTTTAATCATTATACATATATAGAATGGCTTTGTGGTATTTAGTCTATAAACAAATGTATTTTGTATAAATAGAAAAGCACAAAACTGCTTATAACAAAAATATATTTAATTTGGCCTATATTTCATTACTCTCTTACCTTACATTCAATTGGCCTACATGTCTACATTAATAATATAATATAATTTGCTATGAATATCCTACATTTCTGCCACAATCCCACAGTTACTGTTACTACAGTAAATCCATTGTAAATGTTGGTGATTTTGTGGATTGAAACGTATTCTGACTGCATTGTTGTCGCATCAGTGTTGACAATTTCCGCATCAGTGTTGTTGAGAATGTCGGCGCTGTTTCATCTGCCTTTAAACTAGTTTAAATCACCACGACATCCGTGGTTTGTATCGGAGAGTTCTGCTCCAAACTCAAACGCTTCTCATTGGATCTCACAGCTATGTTTATTAATCGCGTGATCGAGATCAGTCAGTGAGTAAACGCATTTGTTCTGAGTTCGCGCTGCGCTGTCTTTAGGCAGAGCTAATAACGGTCTGTGCAGCGCGGTTCAAACGAGTCGCGCTCTTCCACTTTTGACGCGTTTAGGAATTTGCGTGCGCTAAAAAAATGAGAGCGCATATGAGTTATCAAATTGATATCGCTCACGTTTTACTGCTACATCTGGTCTAAAATTTAGTGCTGCCATCTTGTGTTGACATTGTGAAACTGCATAGGCCTATTTTGTAAATTATGCTTGGCGGGCCATATATAATATAGACTATTAAAACAGCTGCGGGCCGCTTAACATTCATCCACGGGCCGCAGTTTGGACACCCCTGGTCTAAACAGCTGATAACAACATCACCATAATCCACAAGTAATCCACATGACTTCAGTCCATCAATTAATGGCTTGTGAGGTGAAAAGCTGCATGTTTGTAAGAAACAAATTTATCAATAAGACCTTTTTGACTTCAAACTGTTTCCAGCTATAAAATATGAATCCTCTATCCATCTCATCTGAATCAGGAGAGAAATATGCACAGATCAAGCACTGTTTGCTAGCAGAAACGGTCCAAAACTGTGCTAAACAAATATGTTGATGGATGTTTTGGATGTGAGAGGACAACAGGGATGGACTTTTTCACTGGAGGAAGTGTTATTATGGATAATGGATAATGGTATTTTGTCCAGAAGCAACAGTTTAAAGTTAATATGCCTTAATTATGGATTGTTTCTTACAAACACACAGCTCATGAAAATAATTGATGGACTGGAGTCACTTTATTATTTTGATGTTTTTATCAGCTATTTGGATTCTCATTCTGACGGCATCCATTCACTTCAGACGATACATTAGTGAGCAAGTAATGTAATGCTATTTTGTCCAAATCTGTTCCAATGCAGAAACAAACATATCTGCATCTTGAATGGCCTGAGGGTGTCAATTTTCATTTTTGGGAGAACTTTTCTTTCAAGGCAGGTCAGCGACCATCTTAGTAACTGCCTCAAGGCTGCTGTTGTAATAGGCTACTTGAAAAGGGAATGACTAAGATCTTGACGAGTAGGTTTCAATAACAGATTTAAACTCAGCAATAAAATACGGAAACTATATGGTATCATCAGTGTTGGGAAGGTTACTTTGAAAATGTAATAGGTTACAGATTACAAGTTACCCTATTTAAAATGTAATAGTAGTGTAACTTTTT